CCGGGGTAGGCTCGTTTGGGTCCGGGCCCGAGCCGGTGAGTCGAGCCTCGGATCGGGCCGATGGGCCTGGGCCTAACCTCAGGCTTGGGTCGGGCTTGGACAGGCCTGGCCATTTTTTTTTAATTCTTTTTAATTTTTTCTACCAAAATTTTATTATTTTCCATAAAAAAAGACACTAAGCCTCGGCGCCGGCCGAGCCTCGGACCGAGCCTTGAATGGGCCTTAACCGGGCCGGGCTTCAAAGTGATGGCACAGGCCCTAGCCTAGGGTCTCGGACTAGACTCGAGCCCGGGCCCAAACGAGCCTTTCCCGAGCCACGGGCGGGCTTCGGGCAGCCTATGTTCTTTTTGACTATTTCATTAAGTCTTATTTGAGGTAAGAAGACCAAAATACCATTTTCATCTACTTATATTCTATTTAGTCCACATTCTTTTCTTATGTTTCAATAAGTCCTATGAGAGACATAATTACCAAAATACCCATAATGTTAATGTTCACATCGTCAATGTGAATGTCCATATCGTCAATGCGTAGAGGCCTGGGCCGGCCCATATCGAGCCTCGTGGGTGTTCGAAAAAAATTCAGCCCGGCCCACGAGTCAAAAATTTAGGCCCAAGCCCTAGCCCTGGCACAAGAGTATTCGGGCTTTAGACGGGCCGATGGATTTGGACCTAACCTCGAGCTTAGGTCCGGCTTGGGCGGTCCTGGCCATTTTTTTTTAATTCTTTTTAATTTTTTCTACCAAAATTTTATTATTTTCCACAAAAAAAGACATTGCGCCTCCGGCGGGCTGGGCCTCGGACCGAGCCTTGAATGGGCCTTAAGCGGGCTGATGGGCCGAGCCAGGCTTCAAAGTGATGGCCTAGGCCTTAGCCTAAGGTCTCGGACATGCTCAGGCCCGGATCCAAACGAGCCTACCCCAGGCCGTGGGCAGGCTTCGGGCAATCCACGGGCCGCAGGCCAATTCTACATTCCTATCAATGTGCATGTTAATATGTCAATGTGAATATTCACATTGTCAACGGGCCGGGCAGGGCCTACCCCGGGCCGCGGGCAAGCTTCGGGCAACGGGAAAATTTTACACTCCTATCAATGTTAATGTTAACATGTCAATGTGAATATTCACATTGTCACAGGTCTGGCCAAGCCCGCCTCGGGCTGCGGTCGGGCTTCGGGCTGCCCACGGGCTGCGGGCCAATTTTACACTCTTATCAATGTGAATGTTAACATGTCAATGTGAATATTCACATTGTCAACGGGCCGGGTCAGGCTCGTCCTGGGCCACTGGCCAATTTTATACTCTTATCCATATGAATGTTAACATGTCAATGTGAATATTCACATTGTCAACAGGCCGGGCTCGGGCCGCCCACGGGCTGTGGGCGAGTTTCAGGCAGCCACGAGGCGCGGGCTAAATTTACACTCCTATCAATGTGAATGTTAACATGTCAATATGAATGTTAACATGTCAATGTGAATATTCACATTGTCAACGGGCCGAGTCGGGCCCGCCCCGGGCCGCGGGCGAGCTTTCGGCCGCCCATGGGCCGCTGGCCAATTGTGTACTCTTATCAATGTGAATGTTAACATGTCAATGTGAATATTCACATTGTCAACGGGCCAGATCGGGCCCGCCCCGGGCTGCCCATGGGCCGCAGGCTGGTTTCGCGCCGCCACGGGACACGGGCCAATTTTACACTCCTATTAATGTGAATATTAATATGTCAATGTGAATATTAACATTGTCAACGGGTCGGGCTCACCCCGGCCTGACTCGAATTTTTCCGAGCACCCAAGAGGATCGACATGGGCCGGGCCCCTACACATTGACGATATGAACATTCACATTAACGATGTGAACATTCACATTAGGGGTATTTTGGTAATTATGTCACCCATAGGGTTTATTGAAACATAAGAAAATAATATGAACTAAATGGAATATAAGTAGATGAAAATGGTATTTTGGTCTTCTTATCTCGAATAGGATCTAATGGAATAGTCAAAAAGAATATGCGTTAGATGGAATAGAGCTCTTAGAAAGTGGATTTATCAAAGAAGCTCTCATTATATTAACCTAAGGAAAATATGTTTTTGCCATTTTATTCATTTATTTTACGGAAATGCTACTTTTCATACCCTCGTGTCATTAGAAAATTTTGATTTTTTGAAATACTAGTGTAGTTATGAAATGTCGCATCCTAAGAATACTTTTAATTACAACTCTTGATGGTTATAATGTAATTTCAAAAATTATCAAGGAGGTATTTTAATTATGAAGAAATTAGTAAAAATTAGTGTAATTCACCCAAAAATAAATAAATAAAGAACAAAACTTGCGGGAACATGTTTAACAGCCAAAGCCCTTGAAGACGGAAGTTTTCAACGGCCGAAGCCTCTCTCATCAAAAAGCGGTTCTTCTTCTTTCAATTTTCGATTCCTTTCTCATCAATTTCGACTGTTTCGAGATTGATCTTCAGATTGATGACATATATACATCTTTCTCTGTATCTATCTCTCTCTTCTTTTTCTTTTTTTCTTTTTTTTTTGGCCAAAACTCCAAGAATTTTCTTAGCAGGTATGGTTATGCTCATCTCCCCACTCTGCCCTTCTTTAAATTATTTTTTTCTCTGTTTCATTGTTTTTGTTATAATTTTTGTTTTATGAACATTTTGATATTACAATGATTTTTGTGTGTGTGTGTGTGTGTGTGTGTGTGTGTGTGTGGGTAAATTAGCATTTCATTACAAAAAAGAAATGATGTACAAAAGCTTTTGTTGGAAAATGGTTTTATATAGGCATAATTTTGAGCCCATTTTGGGTGGGCCCCAAACGTCTTTTGGGGTGGGTCCGAAGAGGTGACGTGTTCCTTGCCGCGTGGCAAGTCACACGGTGAAGACGGAACATCAAAACCATTTATGAGTGAATGGAAAGTTGATGTCGTTTTCAGGTTTAACTTTAATTTCTTTGATAAAAATTCTTTTGAATTTTTTCAATAAATATTATTGTGGGAATTTAATTTAATTCTAAATTCAAATTTTTGAGTTCCTAAGTGGTTTCTTAAAATTTATACCTCTTACTTTATTTATTAAACTATTCAATTTGTTTAATATATATTTATTATTCAATAGTTTAATTTATATAAGTTACAAATAGTTTAAATAAATTAGTTCCCACAAGTTTGACTTTTCCACCAACGGTACACTCTATTTCCAATTGGTTGAACGGTCAATTTTTCAAATTGGTTTATATTGGTTTTCTTGGTGCTAACCGTCAGTGGAATGATTTGAAATTGAGGTGCACCTTTTCTCTTAATGGTGGCACCTATTCGGGACTTTTGATTTTGCCTATATATACACTTTTGTTCCAGCAGTTTAGTAAGAGGAAAAAAAAAAATTCCATCCGGAAAAAGATAAAAAGTTCAATCCGAAATTCAGTCTGATATTTGGTCCCTTGGCTGTCCATTTCTTTTAGTGCATCAAAAAAACGGTTCTTCTTCTTTCAATTTCCGATTCCTTTCTCATCAATTTCGACTGTTTCGAGATTGATCTTCAGATTGATGACATATATACATCTTTCTCTATATCTATCTCTCTCTTCTTTTTCTTTTTTTCTTTTTTTTTTGGCCAAAACTCCAAGAATTTTCTTAGCAGGTATGGTTATGCTCATCTCCCCACTCTGCCCTTCTTTAAATTATTTTTTTTCTCTGTTTCATTGTTTTTGTTATAATTTTTGTTTTTTGAACATTTTGATATTACAATGATTTGTGTGTGTGTGTGTGTGTGTGTGTGTGTGTGTGTGTGGGTAAATTAGCATTTCATTACAAAAAAGAAATGATGTACAAAAGCTTTCAATTCAAACCCTTTGGACAAAACGCTTAAAATCAAAGGTATTTAGCTCCATGAGGCACTAAATAAAGAAACCAATAAAATAAAATAAAATCCAAGGCCCTAATATTACAATGAATTTGTTTATTCATTCGTAGTATGTGCGTACCATGTTGTTTTCACTTTTTTTTTTTTTTTTTTTTTTTTTTTTTTTTTTTCTGGGTGATCCATTTCATCTTTATATCATTTACAAAACTAAAATCTGGTTAGTATACTTCGGTGGATATATTTTATGCACAATTGAATCTTTTCATTCATAAAAATGTGCCTTGTTGCTTTTGATTTTGATTTTTTGAAATACTAGTGTAGTTATGAAATGTCGTATCCTAAGAATACTTTTAATTACGACTCTTGGTGGTTATAATGTAATTTCAAAAATTATCAAGGAGGTATTTTAATTATGAAGAAATTAGTAAAAATTAGTGTAATTCACCCAAAAATAAATAAATAAAGAACAAAACTCGCGGGAACATGTTTAACGGCCAAAGCCCTTGAAGACGGAAGTTTTCAACGGCCGAAGCCTCTCTCATCAAAAAAACGGTTCTTCTTCTTTCAATTTCCGATTCCTTTCTCATCAATTTCGACTGTTTCGAGATTGATCTTCAGATTGATGACATATATACATCTTTCTCTGTATCTATCTCTCTCTTCTTTTTCTTTTTTTCTTTTTTTTTTTGGCCAAAACTCCAAGAATTTTTCTTAGCAGGTATGGTTATGCTCATCTCCCCACTCTACCCTTCTTTAAATTATTTTTTTCTCTGTTTCATTGTTTTTGTTATAATTTTTGTTTTATGAACATTTTGATATTACAATGATTTTTGTGTGTGTGTGTGTGTGTGGGTAAATTAGCATTTCATTACAAAAAAGAAATGATGTACAAAAGCTTTCAATTCAAACCCTTTGGACAAAATGCTTAAAATCAAAGGTATTTAGCTCCATGAGGCACTAAATAAAGAAACCAATAAAATAAAATAAAATCCAAGGCCCTAATATTACAATGAATCTGTTTATTCATTCGTAGTATGTGCGTACCATGTTGTTTTCATTTTTTTTTTTTTTTTTTCTGGGTGATCCATTGCATCTTTATATCATTTACAAAACTAAAATCTGGTTAGTATACTTAGGTGGATATATTTTATGCACAATTGAATCTTTTCAGTCATAAAAATGTGCCTTGTTGCTTTTGATTTTGATTTTTCTTTCTTTTTTGTTTAATTGTGTAGTTAAACATATTTGAATTTGTTAACTTATCTACTTATTGTCTTCATTTTCTTTGTAATCTGACTGCATAGTTATTCAATTTTGTTGCCAAAGCTTGCATTTTTTTTTTCTTTTCCCTTTTCACTTTTGTTCTTGTTGATTGTTCTGTGATAACTAATTTTGGGTTATCTATAAATTGCTAGGGCATTGCTTGTTCTAGTTCTGCCGAATTCAAGGCAGTGCTATAAGGGTTCGACAAGGTTGATTTTTCATAACTCAAAATGGATCAATTTGGTCAGATTGGAGAGGTTTTGGGAAGTATTAAGACTCTTGTGGCATTGTATGATAATGATATTTCAATCAATCAAAGACAGCTCTATTTGTTGCTCCACATCTTCACTTTGGCCTATGAAACTATTTTAGCCGAGATCAAACAAAAGCTGAGGCTAGAAGAGAAGAACACAAAGTGGGGAGCTCTTGAAAACCCACTAAGAGAGCTTCACAAGATCTTCAAAGAAGGTGAACTCTACGTCAGAAATTGCTTGGATATCAAAGATTGGTGGGGCAAAGCATTGAGTCTCCATCAGAACAATGACTGTGTCGAGTTTCATATTCACAACTTGCTCTGGTGCTTCACAATTGTAATTGAGGCCATTGAAACAGCTGGAGAGATCTCGGGAATGGACCAGGACGATATGCAAAAGAGGAGACTCGTGCTCATGAAAAAATATGACTTGGAGTGGAATGACCCGAAGATTTTCCAGTGGAAATATGGGAAACAATACTTGGTTCCTCGAGAAATTTGTAGTCAATTGAGGAGCGTTTGGAGAGAAGATAAATGGCTTCTTCTTGAAACTATAAGGGAGAAGAGAAATTCGGCATCTACCACACTCACAAAGCATGAGGAGAGCCTTTCAGACCTACTTGTCAAGAAACTGAATGAATTGGAGCAACCAATGGGAAACCTTTTACCGGCTTGGATCTTGTTAGGTGCTAACGATTTTGATGTTAAGCGACGTTTAGGATCGGTGGGAAGTCGTTGCAAGGAGATTCATTGGTTAGGGGAAAGTTTTGCTATGAGAAATTTCTTTGGGGTGGTTAATGAACAACAACTAGAAAGTGAGATTTCTTTGGTCCTATCATTTTCCCACCCAAACATAATGCAATACCTTTGTGGGTTTTATGATGAGGAAAGGAAAGAAGGTTTTCTTGTTATGGAGTTGTTGAACAAGTCTCTTGGCAGTTATATAAAAGAGAATTGTGGAGAGAGAAAGAGTATTCCATTCTCTCTTCCAGTTGCAGTTGATGTCATGCTACAGATTGCAAGCGGTATGGAATATCTACACTCGAAAAAGATTTATCATGGTGACTTGAATCCATCTAATGTCCTCCTTAAAGCAAGAAACGCAAACTCCTCCCAAGAAGGTTACTTCTATGCAAAAATCACCGGTATTGGCTTAACCTCCATTAAGTGTAGCAACACTTCTCCAACTTATACAGACCAAAATGGATTCAGCCCAGTAATATGGTATGCCCCGGAAGTTTTGGAAGAGCAAGAACAAAATGGTGGTGGTAAATGTGGTTCAAAACACACAGAGAAAGCCGATGTGTATAGCTTTGGGATGCTTTGTTTTGAGATTTTGACCGGGAAAGTTCCATTTGAAAAAGGCCATCTTCAAGAAGACAAGATGGGGCGAAACATAAGAGCTGGTGAGAGGCCTCTCTTCCCATTCACTTCACCAAAGTACTTAGTGAACTTGACAAGAAAATGCTGGCAAGCCAAACCAATTCACCGCCCAAGTTTCTCTGCAATTTGTAGGATTTTACGATACATCAAGAAGTGCCTTGTCATAAACCCTGATCACGGTCAGCCAGAATCGCCACCCCCACTTGTGGATTACTGTGAAATAGAAGCCGGGTATACGAAGATTTTTGCTAGAGAGGCGAGTCTAGATTTGGCACGAGCCTCACAAATTCCTTTTCAAATGTTTGCTTATAGAGTTGTGGAGAGAGAGAAAACTTCTGGCAGCTCTAAATATAGGGTTTGGGATTTGGGTATTGAAGGTGGTTCGGTTTTCGGGGATGATCAAAGCTCAGTTTGTTCTGAGGATCAAGAAAGGAAGAATTTGTCAAGAATAGGAGGCGATCAAAGGTCGGTTTGTTCTGAGACTCCCTTGAGGAGAGTTTTATCATCGACAGCAATTGGTCAGATGTCATTTCGTCCTGAGTTTCTGAGGAAGGTTGGTTCTGAGACCCCTGAGAGGAAATTTTTCCCAGCAGCAACAGCTGATCAAAGGTCGGTTGGTTCTCAGACTCCAGAGAGGAAAACTTTGTTGAACCCAGACAATCAAAAAGAGAGGAAAACTTTCAATGATGATCAAGGATTGGACGAATCTGAGACTCCAGAGACGAAGCTATTGTCTTCAACGGGAGTTGATCAGGTCTTTGATTGTCATTTGGAGACGGCAGAGAACAAAATTTCATCAACAATAGCAGTGAATCAAAATTATGAGATTCCAGGGAAAATAACTTTGTCAAGAACAGAGAGTGCAAGGGAATCAGTTGGTTTGAAGATTCCAGAAAAGATAACTTCGTCAAGAACAGTGACTGTAAGGGAATCAGTTGGTTCTGAGATTCCAAAGAGGATGAATTTGTCAAGAACAAGAAGCCTACGCGAATCAGTTTATTCCAAGATTCTAGAGAAGATGACTTTGTCAAGAACATCAAGCGTACGTGAATCAGCTTGTCCCACGATTCCAGAGAGGAAAGTTTTGCGGCCAATATCATCCAGATGGGACATATCATCCATTTTTTCTAAGCATCCAAAGAAAAAAATGTCATCGAAAACAGAAAGTGGTCAAAGCTCAGTTCGATCTAAGCAAGCACTAATTGCAAAGACATGCAAGGGTCTAAGTTAGTCTCATCTCCTGTAACTTTTTTCTCTTCTTTTTTTTTTTTTCATGTGATTCTTGTTTTCTGTTTCTATGATAAAATTAGTGTTTTAAGAATGTGAATTTGATTAAACAGGGACACCGAGAGCAGAATCACCAGGATCATCACCACTACGGACGTTCAAAGCGTCACCGGGATCGTCACCACTACGGACGTTCAAAGTAGAGTCCCTTGTATCATCACCAATAAGGACACCAAAAGGGCATTCGACTAATTCTTCAAAAAAACTATCAGCACTGAATCCATTTGTTCGCCGTTCAAGGATGAAATGAGACCCAGATTAGATTAGTTTTTCTCAGACATAACTTGTATTCATGATGTTCATTCAAAAATGAATGAAATTTTTTGTTTTCTTTTGCCCTCCATCAAGAGTCAATGTAATTTACATTAGGGGTATTTGAAATTGCATGTATGTCTGAATCTCTGTTGAAGAACTTATAATAAACCTTTGTGGAAGTTATTAATCAATGTATAATTATGACTGTATAAGAGGGTTCAAGAACGTGGTTGGAAAATTCGAAGATCTTTGAAGAAAAATTCAAATTCTCTAGAAAATGACGAGAGGCTTAGATTCTCTAATAGTCACAACCAAAAACACAAAAGCAAAGAAATGATGGAGATAAAAGATTGGGTGAAGAAGAAGGCAAAGTAGTTAGAAAGAATAATGGCAAGGCTCTCCCATGGATCTCCCACTTTCACTCTTAAGGTTGATAATGGAGAAGGGAAATTAGTTCTTTCCCAAAAGTTATCTCTCCAAAATCCATTCCTTGTAAAGCTATGGGTAGGTGCTATTTATAGGCACCTCATGATGTAGGGTGGAGCTCATGTGCAAGGCACATGAGGAATATTCTCTCTAACCACTTTATCCGAGAAGGTAACCTCTCCGAGGACGAGGAAAACCCTCGAAGAGGAGATCAATCTCTCGGTGAACCCTTCTCTTAACCATACCTAACCAATGATCCTCAATCATCCCAAAGGGCCGAGGTAGTCCTAGAGGACCTCCACATTGCTTAATATTGCCGAGTCTCATGGACCCCTCGGGGTCGTGCCACCTCGACCCTGGTATAGGCTAGTTTAACCGAAGAGTGAATTTATCTCTACTCACTGTCCTCGAGATCGGGTCCTTTGTTAAAACTCCATTATGCCCATGGTTCTGGTGCGTAAATCCCGAAAAGCTCCAAGCCCGCAAGTGTTCTGGAATTCATTTACGGAGCGACTTCTAGATTACGTTTGAATTTGTTCAAAGCCCGAGTGCCTCCGATCTCTAGGCTTGCTCAATACCCTTTTGAATCCGAACCCGAGTAAGTCTCTAAGTTCGTGAATCTAAACCCTTTCAAGGCTTGGAGCAATTCAGCCCGTTTGATAGCGATTAATCCGAGCGCACCAATCTTGGACTTGCGATAAATTCGGGTCCACCAACCTTGGGCTATTGGGCCTAATTAATTTAGTGGGCTTAAATTAGCTCCTCTTACATTTGCCCCTTGCGTGTACGAGAAATTTTAAATTTCTCGAACATGCATATTGTCACTTCTTCAGCCCTGCCTCACATCACGTCCCCAGAAATATGTTGTCTTGACAGAGCCTATGGATAAAGTTGATGACTCACTGTGATTTATGGATAAAATTGACGAGTAATAAATTATTATCAATTAATTTTAATTTCAATCAACAATGAGTGGATTGGATTAGGATGTGTTTAAGCTTCCATTCCTTCCAAAGTAAAACCATCATCAAGTATCTTAAAAGAGCAAAAAATAACAATGTATGCTCAGACTTTACAGTGAACTAACTATACAAGCTACCCTTTTATACTTCATTGTGTGTTTACATACAACTAGAATTTAAGGCTATGTAGGAATTTGCAGTGGCATCAGTCATCTCGTCACTTTTGACGAGCCGCTACAAAACTGTCAATGCCACAATCTTGAGTTTTAGCGAGCTAATTGATCTGCAGTTTGTGCCTCTGCAAATTCAATTCCTATAAGAAATCCAAATGTTTGGATATTAATACTGAACTTGATGCATCAACATCTCCATGAGGGGGTTAGTTTAGTACCTGAGATCATTTACATTTTTAGAGCATCTTCTTCGTGCAGACTTTGCGGCGTCTGTAAAAAAAAGCCATCAAATGAACCTTTTTGGGTTCTCAAAGCTGCGAAGAAGCCATCAAGGAGGACTGCATTTCTTCAGTCGGATGAGAATTTTTATTTATATTTTTTAGTTCACACCATCTGCAGCACTTTTATACATCCACTGGAATTGGCAGCAACAAGCATGTCTGAGTTCTGCTTCCAGCACACACTCGAAACAAACTGTCCATTGTCATCATCAGTTTCTTTGCCAGAAATAGGATCAATGGAGCCAAACTTGTGAGAAGTGATTGGCATATCCAGAGATTTATAATAAGCATACACCTGCAGTCAATCAAACAAGACCAGCACAAGAAGATAAGGGATTGGTATTGTTTCCGCAACGATGTAGTAAATGAATTGTGACTCCTGAAATATAACTCCCTAGAAACCGATTGGGGCTAGCTCAGTTGGCTAGAAATTCAGACTTTAATGTAATAAGAAGCACAAGAATATCAAATAATATGAAATCAAACTCATTTTCTTCTTTTTCTTCTTTGCTGGGGCGTGAGGGTGGGTAATTATATTCTGGGAAGTCTATATTCATTGAGTTCTCCTAACAAATAAAGCCTCAAAACCACAACAATTATCTCTCTCATATCAAATTACCTCACCCTATCGAAGGATAGTGAGAGTGTCAAATGATTTTAGCACTTCGCATAGAATTTTATTCTTCTCATCTAAGAAAAGAAGGGATACCAGTGCCATTGGTATTTTAGTAAATTAGGTCCTGCATCCATCAAAAGAAACTTGATGCAACATAAAAAATGAATGCCTACCTCATTTGTCTCTGAACCACACGCTATGTATCCATCAGCAACAGATAAACCCACAAAGTTCTGAGGAAGAAAATTAACAAAGCACGAAGTTATAATCACCACCACCTTCTCATTAGTATAAAAATTTCCCAGACCAAACTGGTCCAGTAGAATAAACTATTTGAGATTCCAGAATAGGGAAGGAAATATTATCAAATTGAAGCACAGAAACCAACCTTCTCGTTAGTGTGCCCTTTAAGGGTTAAGATGCAAGCGTTCGTTGATAAACCCGTGGAATTGGTTTTATTGAGATCCCAAAGCTTTAGCGTGTTGTCAGTGGATGCAGAAACAAGAGTTTCAAAGTCCAAGAATTTCACATTGCTAACAGCTTTTTCATGGCTAGCCAATATACACCAGGGGCTTGAAACATTCCGAAGATCATAGCAGTAGGTTTTGTAATCAGCAGAGCCAAAGGCTAGTAAATGAGTGGAACGAGCAGAGAACTGAACACAGCAAACATTTGCGATGTTCCTGATTGTGCATAAACTGTTCCTCTGCACCAACAGGAAAAAATATAAATATATTTAGCGAGAGCAAGAATGAAGAGCACCAACATGAGGGAAAGGATGGGTGAATACATTCTTTTGATTTCACACAATGCATAACTAAGTGGTCTATAATAACCGCGATTAATCCATACCCCCATCCCCTTGCCCCCTTAGTCTTCATGCACCATGGTCATCAAAATCTTGATTCAGATCATAGGGTCTTATGATTCTTCGACCCTAGTTGGATTAAACAATCCGGATCACACTAGGATATTAAATTTTGTAAGATCTTAAAGTGACTACGATCCTAATCATAAAATTATGTAGAATAATACAATGATCCCAATCCTACCAAATTTTTATCTTATTATCTATTTCTTATATATGTACGTATAACTGTATATCTATATAACAAATTTGACTATAAACTTCCTCTTCAAGTGTCTCCTCTAATTTATGTATAGAAGATGCATTATATTAAATTTAACATTTTTCTTTAATGATTTAAAATTATTTAACATACATTATTGAAAAAATTTCATTTTATTTTGCATCTAAATCAGAATCCTACGATTCTTGATCCAATTCTACAATCCGATCTATGAGTCCCTCCCAACAATCGTACATAGTATCCTATTTTTAACAACCTTGTCATGCACATTATGCAAAGGACCCAGCCAAGTGCATCCTTGCTATCCAACTTGAGTATTTCATCAAGAAAAGAAAATGTTACTGTTGAGTTAATTTTTAATTATTTTTTTGAATAGAGTTATGTTTAACTAGGTAAATTAGCCTTTTCTTTTACTAAAACAAAACAAAACAAAACAAAAAAAAAAGACTCAAAACAATCATGAAGTTGATATTTGTAATAAAAAGAAATCTTAAGTTTTCACCTACTTCAGAAAATATTGAATATCATTTCAGAACACAAATACAGACTCCGGATTTTGGGGTGGGTGGGGAGAGGGATTTCTCATTCATAACTCTGGTTTCAAAGAGTATCAACTTTCTTGAGCCTCCAAAATTAAAAGACAGAGAAGACAGAGCATGCCTCATTAATGTTCCAGAGCTTCACGGAACAATCATCACTTCCACTGGCTAATTTGGTGGGATCCACTTGAGAGAAGTCCACAGACCAAGCTCTTTTATTGTGCTCAGCATATTGGGAAAATGCTTGACCAGTTCCCACATCCCATAGCTGGAACCCTCCAAGAAAATTGAGTCATGATCAATGGAGGGAAAAAATTATTAGATACTAATAGCATTACTTATACTTGCAATCTTTCAGAATATGAGTTTTGTATGTATGCAGTTATGTTATGTCTATCAGTGTACGTGCTTACATATGAGTATGGATGAACATAAATATGAGTACGGATGAACATAAAAAGTATTTGCCCAAAATTTCAATATCATGGACCAAGATCCTTAAAAGTTTCTGTGGAGAGAGAGAGAGAGACAGACAGACAGACTAAACAGATTTTGGGAAGATGATAAGTCCCAAAAAAATTATTTTCGTTGTAGTGAGCTAAATGAGTATACTTTGGAAAAGTTAAAAAATAAATAAATAACAACTCATGCAGTTGCATTGCATATAACCCATATATGATATATTTTAAAAAAGCTAAACCTCAAGTTGCATTTAGCAAGGCAGGTTCAAATATGAGAGAAGTCATTTTGTGCGAGTGCTGCTCAAAATTACTATGGGTGGAAATAATAAAGAAAGACTTGCAAGCTAGTGTGATTTAACTGAAATTTTGGTCCCTTATAGAGCAAAATGGCAAAACAAAATTCATGTAGCCAACCCTAAGTAGTTAGGAGAAAGCTTTGTTCAGTAAAATTATACATGTGTAAACTGCAATTTGGCCTTAAAAAAAAAGTAGAACGGTAACAAAGATTCATGTATCCTGGACAGTTGAGGCAAGAATATGTGAAGTAGAGTTGAGATGTACTGACAATTTAATCTGTCCTTGCGACCCATCATATTTACTGAATGATCACAAAGGCTCTTTCAATGAATTTAAAATCTATGAAAATTCTACTTTTTTAGTAAATGATTTAATTTTTTCCAGTCAACCAACAGTTTCTTTTTTTGGCAAGTGAGTCCAACAGTTCAATTGCCTACAAACATGCATTTTCGCCATTTTGCACTTTCAACAGTCTCTTTTTCTACCAAATCATTGGTTTCCACATCTTTCCTTCATACTTTTTAACCAGTACCCTTTTATAGCCATATTTATCTCTAAGCATCAACGTCATCCATATAATTCCTAAGTTAATTCAGGCAACTTAAGAACTTCTATGGTAATAGATATTCAATCATCAGTATGTTTCACCATATACCCTTTTCATTTACACTAAATAAAAGCATGAAACTGAAAGATACCTGCATGATCAAAACTGTTAGGACACAACGCTGCTCCCTATGATTGCTCTAGAAAGAAGCCTACAGGCGCAATAGTGAAGCCCTTCCTAACACCTATTGGTTTTATGATAGATGATGGAACTTGGTCTGACAAATGGTATCGGAGCCGGGTTCAAGTTGCAGAAGCTGTCATTGTGAGGGAAGGATTGTTAGAACACAATGTCGCTCCTACAACAGTTCTAAAAATAGCTCTACGGGCAAGTTGTCGAATGCCGTAAAAGACAAAAGTGAAGCCCTTACTGTTAGAATTTCACTATCACCTACTTCACCCACTTAAACCTACTCCACTAAACCTAACCCACTACACCACTACACCACTACTACCTCACCTACTCCACTAAACCTAACCCACTACACCACTACCACCTCCACTTCACCTACTCTTCACCTACTACACACTCACCCTCTTCTATATATAGGAATCATGAATCATTGTAATAGATATCAAAACATCAATCAATAATACATACATTTTAACACTTACTAACACCAATTCGTTTTAGGAGAGATGGAAGAACTTGGTCCGACAAAAACTATCATTCCTGCAATCATCGAACTGCTATGTTATTGATTGGTATTTAGATTCTCTTCCAAATAAGTTTCTCTTGCAATCAAACCATTTCATAAAGATTTTAAAAGTAAAATCCTATCTAAAGTAAAAATATAATCCGTTTGGTCTAAATTTGTGAAGTACCTATGTCAAACACTTGACACTTGGATTAGAGTATGGGGTATGTGCCCAACAAGTCTAGATGGACATGCATCCTACAAATATGTTTAAGTAGTAGATTTTACAATGAAACTATGCATAAGACGCTCATTCCATGCATAAAAAGCTCTTGTTAGTTTATAAATACCATTTTTCCAAAATAAATGAAAGAAGTATTTAAAAAAATATAGCATTTAGTCATGTCATGGTGTCCTTGGGCATCAGAATTAGATGAATCTGACACTTTGACACATACCTGCACCCATCTGCTTTACCCAAAGCCCATGTAACATAGCTTTTGGTTAGTTACAGCCAGGTGTGAGCAAAAAGCATAATATGATGAGCATATGAAGTCATACCAAAACTAATTAGCGTACAAGGTAAAACAAGGAGGTTTCTAGTCACAATGTTACACTTGGTAAGTAAAGAAAGAATTTGTCAAATTCTTGCTTGTATTGATCATATGTTAAGGAAAATATCTTTTAATCTACCAGACCCATTGATTTAACAAGGATATGGCCCCAAGATAGAGCTGAATGGTGAGGGAAAAAACAACAATGGATGCAGTCAACTCTGAGGATATGGCATAGCTTGGTGCTGTGGTAACAGCTCAGGTTGCCAACATATATTCAAGTCTGAGAGCAGCCACTTAGTGCCTATAATGCCAAAGGTTAGGTCCCCTTGAATATTGAGGACTAACACTGGGGAAAGGCCTTGACTTGAGAAAATGATAATGCAGTCAGGCTGTTTTTCTATATTAGAATACATATTTCATAACCTCTGAAGCTTGACATCAGATTAATCCTTGCAGGATAATAATTTGAATCTTATTTTAGAGACCTTTTTAAGACATGCGAGTGACTAATTTCAGAAGCAAGTGTAAGATAACATGAATGTTAATTTAGACAAGATGCAGCAACTCTTTTATTTCAATTGACTGTAACATAAAGGCATATCGCAAGAAGAGCCATGGATATGCACGACTAATTAAGTTAAAACTATTCAAGACACAAGATTCAATTGTGAAATGCTCAATCCCATTACAACAATCCTATGTGATTTAGAACCCAAGGCAGATATGTCTTATCCATTGATTTGACAAAGAATATTCCCCCCAAGTGAAACATCAGATAACCGATCAGAAAATTTCATCTCTACACACACAAACGATAAACTGCACAACCTGGGGTTCGTCTGCTGATGATTCTGACAAAATCCAATTAGTTTAACAAAGATTCTATAATGCCCAAAGTAGACATACCTTAACTATGCCATCATAATCAGTTGAAGCCAAATAGTTCTTGATATAGCTATTCCAGCAAATGCAGCTGAGCTTTGATTTGTTCAACATCTCAATTACTGGATAATGGATATCAACAGCTTCATTAAAGAGTTCCTGAAACTCATATATCTTTATTTTCTTCGATACTCCAGCAGCAGCAAAATACTCCTGATCTCGATCAAAACTCAAAGAGCAGATTACATTTGCAGAATTATGAAAATCTCCGTTCCTTAATATCCCACGCACTTCAAACTTACTATATCGAGCATACTTGCACAAACCACTAAAGAAGGCCCCTATACGATCGATGGGTTTGTTTTTCTCCTTGTCCTTCTGTGCCTGACACCCGTTATCTCTTTCTTTCAGTAATTCCATATTTTCCCGTGTGACTGCATCATTGTCAGAAAGCTGAATGTTGGATCTCATGGAGAAGTAAGCACTTTCCAGCTGATCGATATTCTTCATCAAGCTCAATTCATTATTAATTCCAGGGGTCAAATTAGAATGCACCTCAAAAATTGAATCTTTGCTGTAAAGAAATTTGCTTCCCCTTGAATGAAGGGCTGCCTCAGATAAACAAGGAAGAAATGACGATTTTTTGGTGTGCCGTCTTTCTATCTCTTCAATATCTGATTCAAGGCACTTGATTTCTTCTACTAGCTTCAAGGTATCCGTCTGCTTTTTCTCTTTCAGAGTGGAAAGGAAATGTAATAATAGTTCTGATTCAGTATCATCTTGGTTTATAGATGATGACAAATCATCTCCAAATGATTCTTGAATTCCACTTACAAATTCAGACTGCAGGACTTCCCTGTTATAGACCATTGATTATAAACCCAGGATATTGCATTACAGTATCATTTGATTTCAGTGTTTATATGAAAGAGATTAATGTTAAATGCTTTTTCATTTTTATTTTTTCCTAGGTGACTAATGTTAAATTTGAATTGAATTAAAAATAGCAGGATATCCATTCATACTTGATGCCATGGCAACGTTTGACTATCTAGCAATCTTGAGAGATGGGCACATGAGGCGCACTCAGCAATATATATGGACTAGGGAAATCAACAGGGTTAGTTTGAGTTGTTTTTTCAAAGTGGAAAACATTCACTATGCTTGGTTGTGTTTTTTCAAATCACTTTTCAGAAAATTCTATTTTCTTGTTTTTTGTATTTTTTTGTTTTTACTGAATTTTTTTAATATTTTAAGCAATTTTTTTTTACTTTTTAGACATACCTAACATAAATATACCGAAAAAGTGAAAATTTTGTGAAAAAAACCTTTTAAAAATTCACTAAATACCAAAAATACAAAAAAAAATACGAGAATTCAATACATTTTTTGTATTTTTATGTATTTATTAAATTTTTAAAATATTTTTTCACAAATATTTTATTTTTTGGATACATCTAAAGGTGCATCTAAAAAAGTAAAAAAAATGTTTAAAATTTTAAAAATATTCACTAAAAACAAAAAAATACGAAAATCAAAAAACTGAGTTTTCAAAAAACTTAATTCAAAAAACTCAAACCAAACACATTGATTTTTATTTGTAGCAGTGATGAATGCATTCTATTTTCAAGGCAATGATCAACATCAAAGATAAAAAATTTCATCTATCAAGGATCACAAACTACTTACCAATCTAATAACCCCCTCACTCATTACTTATTACAGAGAAAAAAGGACAGATTCACACATTCCTACTCCAGAAGTTGAGAACACCATACTCCACACCTCGAACACAACATACCGACTCTATACCCTGAGGGAAACTGGAACATGATAATGAAGAATGTAGCTCTACACCCTATGAAAGTAATGCAAGCACGTCATCATCCAAATTTATAAAACATGGGTGGACTCTAGGCCTAGAGGGAGGGTTGATGATATGGAAGTAGGAAAACCACAAACCTAAATTTTGACTTGACTAATGTTCCAAAAATGTTGTTCACGCTTACTTATGAGCAACAACTGGGCAATGTAAAAGGCTATGATTTACACTTTCCCCCTATACCTCACACATACAACATTAGTCGAACAAGAATATGCCCCTCCCAACACTCGAGTGACAACTCACACTCGAGTGACAAATTTTGGCCTTGCAGTGGAAAGAAATGGACAAACTTACAAATAAAATGAAAAGACCAAAATTATTGTCGCAAAATTAAAAGTAGGGTTGATTACACTTTTAACCCCTTTAGTTTAACTCAAAGTTTCACTTTGGTCACTATTGTTTCAATTGAACAATTTGGTTCCTACACTTTAAATCTAGCTTCAATTTGGTCCTTCTGTTCAAGTTAGAGGTTAAAATTAATGATTTTGGGACACTTGTCAGTCTCCTAAGGTTAACGCGAAATCGAGATCCCCTTATACGGTTCAGAGTGGATTTAGTTGAAGGATTCAGAATGGCTATTCGATGTTCCAAACAAAAAAAAAAAAAGCCCTTAAGACTCCATAATTATCGGGGAAGAGTCCTGCACGACTTTCGAGAGAATGTAGGTTCACCTAAGCTATCAAGCACCCTTTCAAAAAAATAGAAGCCTTTTCGACAGCCTCTATGTAGGAGAAACAGTAATATCCACACAGAATAAATAGAAAGTCAGATGGGATTAACATTCTAGAGATAGCTTTCCAAGAAGAGATTAAAATCAACAACTTATCTTATAGGTGGAGCAGATTACTAGTCTAAAGACAGTATTACCTTGCTGTTGGCCGTAATGAAGGTTCAGGATGAAGAAGCCAAAGACAGAATCCAGCTTCCTTGGAATTCTGTGACAGAAAGTTCGAAGGAAGAATCCTATGACGCAGATCTGACATGGCAGCAACACGTGCCCTTTCAGAGTCAAAAGAGCCAAGCAACTGTAAGAACCAAACCTATTAGTCCAAATAATGAGATGTTGTATACTCAATCCCTTCAAAGGAACTAGAAATTGGGACAAGTACAATTAATGATTATTACAAATAGAACAAAGCTAATTTTCTCAATGAACATAAATATTTCTTCATCTTTTTTCTTCTTTTAGCAAGTAAATTGTATAACGAGTACCCCACATAAAAGTGGCACTCCCCGTACGGACAATACATTATAGGAAAGGAAACCTCCATCTACAAGGATAAATGAAATTATGAATCACCCAAAAACTCTACACAAAATTGAAAAAAAAAATGGAAATTCCTCATAAAGCAAAAAAATGAAGAGCTCAAAATACTCCTTTCAGATTAAATTGGAATACATTCCTCTTCAAAGTTAATTTTTTTATTTTACCTATAAATACACCACATCAAGCACAACAGTGCTACTACCCAAGCTTTAGTTGCACTCTTCTAGAGCAACCCTTCCTAACAAGATAATAGCTCCCTCACTGAAAATGGTATTTCACCTAGTGGACACTAAACAAAGAAATAATAAAGGGTCCACAGTTCTCCAGCATACTCACGAAGGAGTTCTTGCACAAGTGAAATCACTCCATCATGACCTTCCCTCTCTTCCTTGGGTTTTGGTCCTTATGGATAGTAAGAAACTAAAAATGGCATCCCAAACAGCAGTCCAGGCCCAAAAAAAAGAAAGAAGTTTCAAACGAAACTTTGAACACCAAAGATCTCCACAAGAGAACCAAAAAAAACCCACTGTGCATACCCTTATACCAAGATTTTACCGAAACCATTATTGTTGAGCTTTAACTTAATTACATCCTTGGTCCTACCCTAAGTGTTTTTAAAATAGAATGCCTCCAAAAACTCCTCCACAGGCTCCCGCCTCCCAATCCATCAAATCCCCCTGAACTATGAAATCCTAAGAACCCCAACCTCCAGGAAATGATCAATCTTTGTGAAAAATACCTTATTCACTGTGATTTAGAGTAGAAGGGGAAACAGAAAACTAGTGACCTCCACAAAGAAAACTTGTAACAATAAAGGAAACTTGGTACACGGAAAACCTCCATGAAGAAAACAAATTAAACCCCCGCTCCGTGTTGCATACCCTTGTACCAAGACTTTACTAAAAACCATCTTATTGAACTTTCATCTAATCACATCCTCAGTCCTACCCTAAATGTTTGTGCTATAGAATGCCCTCAAAAACTCCTCCATAGGCTCCCACCTCCCAATCCCTCCAGAACTGGGAACTCCGCACAACCCCAGCTTCCAGGCAATGAACAAATTTCTTGAAAAACACCTTATTCACAGCGACATTGACAAGCTTAAGAAAAGCCAAATTACTGATTAGTAATTTGGTGACAACATCATGCATCATCCCAAAACCAAAAGCTCTACCACTCCCAACAAGAAAGCTAACATTCTCTAAAAAGTCCCCCCAACCTTTCATAGTACCTTCCAAAGGCCAATGCCATGAGTATCTCAACCATCCTCAAAACCCAACCACCCCACGCTGAGTTGTACTTTCCCACCACCATTCTCTTTCAAAATATATTAACTTGTGAAATCCAAGTTTTAGTTATATAATAATTAAAATAATAAGAAATTAGTTATGGGTGATTTTGTAATTTTCGTAACTTAGATGGGTAACATTTTAATTTTCGAGAATTAGGTTACTAAGTCAATTTGTGCCTTTTATATCTTGCGGCAGTGAGAGTGCATTGGAAAGAGGGAAAAAAAAAAAAAGGTTTCATACTATTTCATTATCACGATTTCGCAGAGGATTCAAGCGGGAAGCTACAGTAGGAATTGAGGGCGCAAAACATTGAAGATATCTTGATATACCCATTGATTGAGGTAAGACTTTTTTGCACCATTGTTTATTATTTTTATATGGAGCAATAGACAGTCCAAACATTATAGAAAAGAAAATCTGTGTGGGTGCCCACCTAAGTTTTGAGATATTGGATGTATGATGCAACATAACAAAACAAGAAAATACATAAAAATAAAAGAGGATAAGAGACACTGTATGGTCGTGTCAGACCATTGGTGAAGACACTGGATGGTGGTGTCATAACGTTGTAGAGGACACTGTATGGGGGTGTCATAACCATGTAGAGGACACGGTATGGTGGTGTCATAACGGTGTAGAGGACACTGGATGGCGGTGTCAGACCGATGTAAAAGATAGTTTATGGGGTCATGTCGGACCGTTGTAAAAGACAGTTTACGGGGTCTTACTGGACCCTTGTAGAAACTAACCGGAATCAATGTCGGGACAGTTTATAGAGTCTTGTCGGACCCATGAAGGAGCTAATCGGAATCAATGTCGGGACAGTTTACAGAGTTTTGTCGAACCCCTGAAGGAGCTAACCGGAATCAATGTCGGGACAGTTTACAGAGTCTTGCCGGACCCTTAAAAAGTCGCACCCTCAAAAGGTGTGCCTAATTTTTCAAAAAGGCGTGCCATCAAAAGGCGTGTCCAATCCATAAAAAGGCGAGCCAGATATGATGGCGAGGCACGTGAGTGCCTTGGCTAGCGCGCCCGTTTGTCGTCTGGCGTCAAGTGGGGCGCGATACGCGTGGCTGCCTCGACTATTTAACCAAGACGGAGGCTGAGGCTGAGGCAGACAAAAAACTTCTGAAAATCCTCTGAAAAAAACTCTTCCTTTGCTGAGAGAGAAACTCTGTAATACTCTGTAACCAACCCGTCTCTGAAACACTCAGCAACATGGCCTCTTCTTCCCGTCCAGCTACCCAGAACATGGCCTCCTCTTCCCGTGGTCTGCTCACGCTCTTTCCAGAACTGAACGAGTCCACAAGAGAAATAACTGGTGCGATGGCCAGTGAACCTCAACCAAACACCTCTGGTTTTGCTCCATTGAACTTTCCGATGCGGTCGGTGGAGCAAAAAATGGCGGTGCAAACTGATATTGAGGCCAATCAGTATACTCTGAAGTCATGCGTGGAAACCATGACTGCGGTCACAAATTTGTCGAACCGGCTGCAGAGTAGGACAAATGAGGTGCAGCATTTAAACTCCCAGCTGGCTCTGCTCCAACGCA